CAGATTAAACCGCACCTTTGGATCAACACTTCCGGCACAGGAAGAAAGATGAGAAAACCAGCGGGGAGTGTGAGTAGATTTAAAATAGGTCTGTATAAACATGTAAGAAATTGCGATATTGAAGAGGTGATACAAGGATATAGGAGAGGTGAATAGCCCAGGGCAGAAAGAGATACGATAACAATTTAGCACACATTTAGACAAAAGATCTATTTCACTTGTCTCTTTGACGAATTGTATTATGGTGCTAAGGATGGCAAGACTCACTGACGATGCCAACTACGATGTAGGCTAAATATCTGGGAATGTACCACGTCAACGGTCCGACTCCGGAAATTATCATGCATACTATGGATTCCGGACAAAGTGCGTTCCTTTAACTTTTAAAGTTTCCTTCAACTCAGTTGGAGCAGACTAACTAATTTGATAATATAAAGGTATCCGTATAGTTAGCATTTTTCAAGCCAAGATATCAATAAAAAAAATAAAAAGTAAAAATGAATGAGCGTTGATAAATTTTGTATCGCGAAAATAAAGTTAAGTGCGCATCTTTTGTATTTAAAAAAATTATATTTCTTGTTATCATCAGTCTCTATAAAATCAAATATAAAAGTATTTTAAGCTATCTAATGATCTCGAAAATAATTTGCTGGAGCTTAATTCAGGCAAGGATTTATTGAGATTCTACTACCAGCAAAAATTTGATTTTACCCCAAATGAATCCTTCTTAGTACCCCAGATTAAAAAATGAATAAGAAATTCTCTTTTTAGTGTCTAGCGAAGATTTTCCAGACACAATCACTAATTGTGCTTACTATTCTTAATGCTAATTCTTTAAACAAAACTCAAATTGACCCTAATTTCAAATAAATATATGTGAAGTTATACACTAAGGCAAGTGTGGGTGGTGACGGAAACACCAGCAATTATAAGGGACTTTAAAACCCATGACAGTTAATTTAATATATAAAAACAGCTCAAATTAAGCTTTTAAAGAAGCGATACTATTACGATTCAAAATGATGGAAGAAACTTTATTAAAGTAAACCTTATGAAATGGCTTACTGTCGAAAAAGCAGAATTTGTCCTTTTCGGTCAGGGCTACAATTCGGCCTGTCATATGGATATAATTGAGCCATCTTCCCTGCCACTGGAAGAGATCTGAAATAATGTTTATGGTGGATTAAGGTAAGGATAAAACGCCAATTTGGGCAATAAATCTCACAAAAATGTAATTGTGCCAGCAGTTAGCAATAATTACCTGCCAGTTATAGATATATGTATGTTTAAAAAATATCAGTAGATCTTAAAAAAGAGCCCAAGTCACCTAAAGTGATGTAATACCAGCTAGTTTAAGTTTATGCAATGAGTTGTGTAGAAAGCCCGAAGAGGCCAATTAGTTTACCTCAGTTTTGTCTTCCAATAGGTTTTCTCATCAAGCTTGGACTACACTTTCGGACCTGTCTAGGTTTCAGCATCCTCGATTTAGTTCGAGATCAAATCGTCCGAATCAAGTAACAATGTTACTATTCTGTTACATTGCTATGGATGCCAGTGGGCTATCACAGGGTAATCCAGACACATCTTGATTCAAATGGAATAATAGGATGGTTGTAGATAGGGCAATCAGCGAAATTATAGAATATGAATTAAGAGGTATGGCTTACCTTCAAAGTCATATCTGCCTCCTGAATCAATAGCAGCCGTATCTATGTGGCGGAAGGGAAACAATGTGCTTAAGATGAATTAGCAAGTTTTCAGTCCTGTTGTGTGGTGAGACCTAAGCGAGGTAGAAACTGTAGTCCACTCTTGATGATAATGCCTTTTAGTAAAACAAGGCTAAATGAACTTTAGAGACAGCATAAAGCCTCTTGATCAATTTATAAGTTAAAATATCAGTCCTAGCAAGTAAACTAATGACTGCTCCCTTGTGTTGTATGTACAACTGTCACTCAGTTATGGGATATAATGACTAAGTCTGATGCACCGCCTTCGCGACCAACCTTAGCGCTACATTTCCTCATTGTTACAGAAGTCTTGTTCCAAATGATTGTGAGTGCAAAGTTCCGATGCTTACCTTTCCTTTAGTGTTGTAATCTCCAAATAGCCAGATCGACCTAGCAGACCTTCAACGGGATGGTCAGAGCATGCTGCTTGTCCTCCTAGCAGATCGCCAGTGTGCTACCCCTCCCCGTACGCTGCATCTCTGTGCTTTGTTAAACCATCCTGACAAGCTAGATTGGACCCCTTTGTACAGGAAAGCCGAGCTCACCCACCATCGGAGGCCAAGTAAAGTCAGCTAACATATCAATAAGTATGCATCTACATGACTATTTGCCAGGCACCAACAAAATGACATCGCCAAACCGATTTCGAAGCAATACTACTTATCTAAGCCGTGACTCTACAGCATCTCACTATGACACCTGTTCCAAAGATACAGCTTTTTCATCAAATTTTTATGTTTTTTATTTCGTCATGCGGTCTCAGGTCCCTTAGATATTTGTTAGAGTTTTCAGATAGCAACATGGATATAAGAACAGTATTCTCGCTACGGCTAAAGACTGTGAAAATATGTTTGTTTTAGAGAAATGGAGCTGAAGAATTGATAAGCTTTGATTTGTAATTAAAGTATAACTAACACCTTAAGAGAGGAAACGCTCAGAACATTGTAAGACCTTGGATAGAGAGAAGGATATCCTGGAGAAGGAGCATATCAGAAAGTAATCGGTAACATGAGTGGACAAGGACGACCTATTTCGTATTCAATGGTTACATATATAAACAAGGATAAGGTATTAGAATACATTTGGGAAGCAAGGCCATGTGAAATTCAATCGAAATGTAAGGTCTACTAATATTACTAAGGGAAGATTCAACTATTACTCCTTCATTACCATAACGAAATAGTGAATACATCTCAAAGATAAAGTTATGCCCATGGACTGACCATTCTCCCCTCTTTTTAATAATATCTAGATGAACAAATTGGAGGAAAAATTCCCCCTTCTATCCCCTAGCAAATGCAACGTCCTTTTAAACGGAAAAAAAGGCTGGGCCATGAAAAAAGAAAAAGCAACTCAACAGCCGATTAACTTAAGTATTTTTAAGTTATAATTTACCTGTGCTCAATAGACCTATTTATAAAGACTTTAATTTGTACTTACCTGATGGCAATAACCTCTATTATGTGCCTTGTAATGGAGACACGTACCTAAGCTCTAAAGATGTTGCCATTCCGGCCGAATGATACACCTGATATTTACAAAAAGAATTCGTTTTGGTCCCCTACAGTAATTCACATTGTCCTAGAAATGTTACCACCACGATGCTGTGGCCTTAAGAATGGTCGCGGTCTCATTTACCTTTAGTGTTGGTAATGTACCAAGTCCGAGGTTGGAAATTGTCATAAATACTGTAACAAAGTAGATAGAATCTGATACGTCCCACAACGTTCCCCTTTTGCTCCTATAGCAAAGACAAATTAACACTTCCCACTATGATCCCTATCGCTAGGAAAGTAAAATGCATAGAGATTTTGGTAAAACTTATACAGGCCAGTAAATAAAAAATGGAAAAGATGACCTCATTCTAAATAAAATTAGCCAGAAAGGCCAACAAAAAGAGTATTATCTTCTCAAGCCGTTCACAAATTTTATTCGCCTTATATGAACCAGAAATTCACTTGCAAATAAATATTCAAGATAGAGTATTAATTAAATTAGGTGAATAGCTTATCATAATATGAGATGTATTCAGCCCATTTCGTTTAGAGTGATGAAGGACTGGTAGTAGAATTCACCGACAATGATATAAATAGAGCTAACGTTTCCATTGAATTTCACATAGCCTTGCTTTCCTAAAAGCTACTATCATCCAGGGTGGACAGAATTTCGGCCTCACATAGGTCTTATCAACACAACCCAGCGAGAGTCTAGCTGCGACAGTGCAGAATATGTGACATGTTAACCTCTGGGCCACATTGCCACGAGTGCCCTTGGGTAACAGGGCCAATTTGAATTTCAAGGAAGGCCAGGCTTTTTTCAAACCGCA